TCCAGGCTGTGGCATGGAGGGCAATTCTTGGAGGCCCCTAGCCGGCGCCCAGTGAGGTTGGTCTGGGGCCTGAGGGTGAGGAGAAGACACAGCAGGCCCAGTCCCAGGGCAAACCCCTTCATGGCTACATCAGGAGGCCCCTTGTCCTCTGAGCCACTCCTGCTCCTTGGGGCCCTCCTGGGGCTGCAGGACCTGGAAATGGGGCATAGCCAGGCATGCTCCTCGGAGAGAAGGGCTGATCCTGGAGGCTCCTGGGAGGGTACCCCCCGCCCCCCACCCCCACCTCCGCCAGCCTCCGGCTCCCTCTGCCTTCCTCCCCTCCACACCAGCCTGCGCGCTGCTGTGTGGCGATGCTTCCAACCCCCAAGGAGTCCCAGCTCTAGCTCAAAGCCCTGTGGTCTGCTGGCTGCCCTCCCTGTGGGTGATGGATACCCGCCAGCTGCTCTGGGGGCCGGATCTGGGCCATGGACCTGACAAGAGATATTTCTCCACATGGAGGATTCCACCCAGGCCAGTCCACCGTCCATGAGCCCCAGAGAGGGGGCTTTTTTTCTCTCTCTCTCCCAGTCAACAGTTCTTGTCATTTCTGCTGCTGCACATACATTTTCCAAAGCACTTTCTGCCGGCTCAGGAACTGCCCGCCAATGGGCCCAGGCAGAGCTCCCATGGTGGGAGGCCAACCATGGATGGAGAGGAGTGCTAAGGAGGGGCCCAATCTAGAAAGCAGAAGCCCACACGTGGCAGGCCTTCCCAGATGGGTAGGGGGGTGGCACCTGGTGGAGGACCACAGAGGTTGGGGGGGGCGGGCCACGGGGTTGCTGCCACAGACCAAGAAGGGAAGGTGCTGCTGAGGCAAATGGAGACTGGAGTCAGGGCCATGGTTGCAAAACCCTGAAAACACACACACACACACACCACCCCACCCCCACCCCTACTCCTCTTTCTGAGTTTTCCAATACTCCTTCCACTGGACTAATCCTGAAGGCCAAAGGAGCACACACACCCCACCGCCCGGGAGAGGCAGGTGGAGGGCCAGGCAGTGCCCACCAAGGGAGGCAGTGCCGCTGCGGGCCCGGCTTGCTTTCTCACTGTCAAGGAGGGGCGCAGCAACACCTCCTTGCCCCGTATGTGGAGGCTGGAGGATACAGACAACATGTTTGGGACACGTGGGGACCATGTGGGGCTTGGTGAAGAGCAGGATTTGGTCCTGTCTGTTGGACATGTAGGCACTGTGTGGGCAGCAACCTGCTCTCTCAGGGAGGACTATAGGTCCTGTAGAAATGGGACCTACAGGGTGGCCACAGGTGCCCCCCCCCCCACTTAGCCATTGCCCAGGAGAGAGGGAAACAGGGAAGCCTGGATATCACTCACACCTGTATCGCTCTGATAGCCCCCCCACTGACTTAGTAGGGACACCACGGTGCCACATGTTTTCTCATCAGCAAGGCAAGTGGGGCAAGGGAACAACAGGGGCAAGGTCCAAACTTCCATGTCCTCTCTCACTCTGGGAGCCAGACTAATGGACCTGCTGCCGGGCCACCAAATCAAGATCCGCTTCCCCACCCAGCCTTCCCGCTGCCCATGGGCTGACCCCTCCCCTCTTCCTGGGGCCAGCTGAGCGCTCCCTCCCTTCCTTCTGCTGCAGGGCTCCATCCGAGCAGAAACTGTCTACTCAGCTCAAAAGAAGCCCTTCTTGAAAACCACAGATTCCAGGAGCCCAGGATGTTGGGGTGACGCCCAGACGCATTGTTCACAAGCTCCGTCATTTTCATGTCCCTGGCCTGGCCCTGCCAAGGTGCTCACTGTTTGCTGAATTAATGCCTGGCCTTTGCCAGCGGGGTGGCTACTGGCTGGGGCCTGGTTCCCATGGGAGGGTCTCCTGGCCAGTGGGGAACCAGCTCCCTACCTCCGGGGGGATGCTGTCCTCCGAGTCGGAGCTGTCCTCGTAGACGCCGCCGCCACCCGCGTCCAGGTTCATCTGCAGCAGCTGGTCGATGGTGGCGTCCACGGCGCCGCTGTTGGCGCGCAGCACGCACTCGATGATGTCGTAGTCCAGGCTGGGGAACATGGTCTTGAAGTCGTCCATGGCCTGGTTGAACTCGAGCCGGCGCACCTGGCGGGCCGGCCGGCTGTTGTTGAGCTCCTGCGCGCCGGCCCCCCCACCGCCGCTGCTCCGACGGAATAGGCTGGTCATTTTGGGGAGCCGCTTGGGGGAAATGTTTCCCTGCAGCCCAGGGTGGGTAGCCGGGGCGGGCAGTGACAAGAAGAATGCCCGAGGGGCCTGATATGCCTGCCAATGTCCCTCTTCATCTGGGAGATGGGGAGGGGTGCTTCGCTTCAGGCAGCCGCTTGCTTCCTCCTCCCTATCTCTCTGTTCCCATCTCCTCCCTAACCAGACACAGGGCCGGGGCCTCAGGAAGTTGTGGGCCAGAGTCGGAATGGCAAGAGCGTTTGCAGAAGTCCCTGCTACCGAGGCTCCTGCTTCCACCTCTGCAAGCACGGCTGTGCTGACGCTCTGCCCCGGGCCGGGTCAAGCCCAGGCACACTCAGGCCCCGTCGAGAGGGGGTGCGCACATCCACATACACACTCACACGCACATGCATGTGCTCACACACTCTCTGCACACAGCCAGCCTGGCTCAAGGAGCCTTCCACCCTGGAATGCACTTAGGCTCCTTCCTGTGAGGTGGAAAGTAGTACTTAAACAGATGCTTTCGCAAGAAAAGAAGAATGTAGCTGTTTGCAGGCCCTCGGTCTGTGCTCCCCAAACGTCCACAAGAGGAAAACCAGGCAGAGGAGGCTGGGAGCTCCACTCCTGGTGTGTGTGTGTGT